CCCCTCGCTCTCTCTTCCTGTCACACAAGGTCACATGTTGGGTGCATGTGCTCAAACACACACAGATGCCCTCTGTCTCTGCGGCAGCTATTGGCAGAAAATCAGTACACAGTTCAGCAGAAAAGAGACGTTACATTAACATGCACTGTGACTAAATCTACTGTTCCTCCTGTTCTTGCACACACGTAATCAGAAATCTTCAACACAGATTATTTATCATGTGACTCTGACTGATATTTATGCCCCACAATCCTTTGCAGCTGCTGCCTGGCGACACTTGAGCCAGACGGTGATGAGTGAGAAGGACTTTTCTTGATTTAAGAGTTATATTCAGAGATACTCGAATTAAAGTGAAGAGCATCGTTAAGAGGTTTCATCAGTCACACGTGTCATTAGTAGATAAGTGGAAAGATTAACTTTTAATCACATAGCAGGCAGTGTTTTCTTATAAATGATAGCAGTCTGCAACTGCCACGTGTATTATCAGGGCCTTCAGACCAACGAACATCTACTATGAGTTTGTAGGAACTGGATTTAATACACAAAATGTTTGTCCAAGTTCCTAAAGAGGACAGTGATGTACAACCACCTACAACATACAATACAGGCACAGAACAGAGACAGCCAGGCTCTCACACACACCTTTCCAACCGTTCGTCCATTCCAGCTCTACAGGAAGTACGCTGACTGCAGTGTGCATGTTTGCACGTCGCACTAAGGCATATGAGAAACCACTGAGGCATGTTTATCAGCTGTCACCAGCTATCCACTACAAGGACAAGTGCTTACAATTAGTTCCTAAACAGCTCCAATCAGTCAGTGAGCTAATACCGTGTAAACTAACCTGTGTCTGTCTGCAAGTACTGCAGTGAGTGTGTAAATATCAGAATATTTTAGTACGTTTGTTTAAATAATTTTATGAACGTACGTACATCCAGCCACAGGTTCACCTTCATTGATCTAATGTACCAATGTGTTTCTTTAAAACAAACAAGAAAGTTATAAACCTCATAATTTCTTTGTTTAAAATAATGAGGTAAAAGTAAAACTCATCATACTGGGATAATAATAACCCAAAAAAGGGAATTCCATCCTCCGTTACCTTTCTATATAGCTATATACTATTATATACCAAGCTATATAGTTTATGTCTTCCATATTTCCAACTATATCCATAATCACATACTGTGTATGCTACCATTGAATATAGTGTATCGTCTTACTTTTTTTCATTGATTGTACTTATTTGTATTTTTGTATTTCCTTCTGATATCTGTACCTGAGCTGAGGTGACGCAAAAATTTCCCCGTTGTGGGATCAATAAAGTCTTATCTTATCTTATCTTTCAGTTAACCAAAGTCAGGTTGGGGTTGCAGCAATGCTTTTCAGTTCCTCCTCGGGGAATCCCAAGGCTTTCTCAGGACAGATGAGATATATAATCTTTTCAGCAGGTTCTGGGTCTACCCAGACGTGTCCTCCCAGACGTGTATGCACAGATAGTACGCACCCAGGAGGCATGTGCATGCTACCTCAGCTCCTTTCAATATGGAGCAGTGCCTCTAATCCCACCAGATGTTCTTGACCCTATGTGTAAGGCTGATCTCAGAGGAAACTGCTAAGAGTGGACTGCTAAGAAGAAATCGTCACCTTCCAGCTCAGCTCTCTCTTCACCACAGCAGGCCAGGTAAATGCCTGCATTTCCACACTAATCCATCGCTCCACCTCATGCGCCCCCTCCCCATTAATCAAGTTACTTGAAATCCAGCCTCTCTTCCCTATAAAATCTCTAAAGGATCAAACTCACTTTGGGAATATTTAATCAAACTTGGAATCCACCACTTGAGACAATAAAACAGACCTCACACTGCAGCTGATTTAGCTTTGGGGCCATCAGTCTATGACCAAGCGACTGGTGGTGAGGAAGCATGACTTCTTTGCATGCCAACAACCAAGAAATCCTCCTGATCATCTTTTTCAAAGAAGCTGAAAGTTCATATTTCATTTGAATCTAGGCCTCGATGATTCAGAATGCCTACGACATATAACGTTTCTACAAAGACGGCCTTGTATTTACAGACTGTGAGTCTGTCTTTCACCGCATTAGTTGTATAACCAAGCATAATGGCCGTGTCAGGAAGTGTGTCGTTTTCCTGTGAATTATGTAACCAATATGATTGGATGATGTTTG